TTAGCTTATGTTTACACTTATGAATTATCTAGACTGTAACTAATTCAATTTTGTGGTAGGTTTTAGTTAGCTTATTGTTTGCCATATATATTTATTTATTAAATTAATTTAGCTGTAAGCTTCCCTCAAATATAATAAATAAATATTATGTGATCGAAATTATAATTACCTAAATGAAAAATTTTTGAAAATAAGTTGCATACATCCTTCTCCATGCGATGTAGTACCAATATACCAAATTTCGTATTGATTGGTTAAACTATTAGGGCGCTAAGAGGTAGCTAAAAAAACTATCTGACTTTTACATTTATAATATTATTAAGGGTGTGTATTACAAGAAATAAACCGCACAAAATAGGATACAAGTTCTATTTTTATCAAAGTATCGTACAGTCTATAAATAGATGTCATCGTGAAGTGGGAACAATTACATAATTGTGGCACCGTTATATTTTCCTTCTCACGGCCTAGTCTAGTGGCGCATGGAATTAATTCTCTGGTAGGTTTATTTTATAAAGGAGACAATGCGACATGTTTGTTAAAATATAAAACAATTGTAGCGTTCTCAGGATAGGTAGAAGATATTGTATAAGACCATGTCCAGCAAATTGATGACATATTTTTTTATTGTCATTTTAACAATTGTAAATTATCAACTTTGATTATTTCTGACAAATATGACAGTGATAAGTAATAGTTATAATTCTTTAAGACGAAATTAGGTGCTCAATATTCCGGGCTTTATTAAAAAAAATCGATAATTTAATGTTCGGTATTATATACGTTTGAAAAATTAACATTTAGAAAAATAATTTTTAAGTATTTATGTCCAAAAATTATTTTTAAATACATATTTTAAATAAAACTTCAATTTTTAGGTAAGCATTTACAGAAATAATAGAAGCTTTTTTTATACAACTGGATGTCAAATGAGCTGACGGCCCACCTGATGGAAAGTGGTAACCGTCGCCTAAAGACATGAGCAGTACCATCGATATAACAGAGTTTACTGTTTCGCCCATGATACCCCCCATGCGTTCCCATTCCTGAGGACTCAGATGTTATTCCTATGTACCCTGTAAATTCACGCCATATCCCACCCTTCAAACCGGATCACAGCCATGCAAACACAACTGCTTCACGGTAGAAACACGAATGGGACAGAGGTACCCAAGCAATCGACTTTTGTACAAAGTTTCCCTCTGGTAAAAGCTTACTGTTTTCCTTTAGAAATAATCGCTTGACCGTTCTACTTAGTTTAATTACTTTCCAAAAAATTGTTTATAAAACGATACTTAGTAAAAATAACCAATTTGGTACTTAGGAATAATTAAGATTGTCTTCAAAAAAAAAAAAAAAAGAAAACGACTGCAGTTGTGACCAAACTAGTTACATTGATTTAAAAACTAAACTACATACTTAAACAATTTTGATAAATTTCTTATGACACCAATCTGTAAGTATATTTATTCAGATTAAAAAAGGAATTTTCCAAATTGGTTTACAACAGACGGAGTAATGAGCTAAGAACATAACATAAATAAAATCAAATTGAGAACCTCATTTTTGTAGTCGATTGTAAATGTTAAATAACGTCGAATCGAAAGTAGATTCTTGTTACAATTCATTAGTTTAATGCTAATGTAATATTTCCTAAATGGTAGGCGATTGCCATTAGTGGTAATAATATACATATAGGTACTTAATTGAAGCACATTACAAGACACGTAATGAAGCATGATAATGAGTCATTAAATCAGTTGAGCACATGAAATTGATGAATGAAAGTATTTAGTTATAACTTCTTATGTTCATAGTAGAGAGTTTAAGGTATTCACATCGAGTGTAATAAGAGCACGAATGAATGGAGATGTCGGTAGGGGCCGCCCTAGAGGGACATATGTTGACCAAATTGGCGACGTGCTGAAGAAGGGCCAAATTAAAAGTACCCGTAACCGGCGAGCGTGTATGAAAAGATTGATGAATGTGGAAGAAGCGAAAGTGGTTTGTTTGAATCGAAGCATTTGACGTTCCATTGTTTCTGCCTACCCTAATGGGAGACAGGCGTGACAGATATGTATGTATGTATGTAATCAGTACTTGTAATAAAACTTGGGAAAAGATATAAACTATTGACCATGATCAAAAGTGGCAATCGTCGTCTGTAAAATATTAATTTTATTATGGGCCATAGAATATACTGTGACGCCCATGGCGCCCTCATGTTTTATAATTGGCATACGGCGTTGGACCTACTATATTATGATATTGATCATTATTAAAAATATATCGTTATAATTGAGTTAAGGGCCTATGAGGCGTCGTCTTTGATGTCTAAATTTTATGGCGTACGAATAAGTATCCATGGTGCATAACATATACTTATACGTGTATAAAAATCTTTTAATAGTATAAAACAAAGTGCCCATCCGCCTTTGACTGTTTCGCCATTTATTTCTTTTAAATTACGCAACGATATTTTAATACGGACGGACACTTGAATAGATGTTTTAGTGTAGATTTATTTAACGGAAGGTTTGTATGTAAAACTAACTTTATATGCTTAATTATCCACGTAGATCATTAAGCATATAAAGTATTCAATGTGCTAATTTAGGATGTAACCTATCCGTGTACCAAATTTCATTCAAATTTGTTGAGAAGTTTTTGCGTGAAAGAGTAATAAACATCGATACATTCATCGTAACAAACTTTCTTCTTTGTTATTTTAGATATAATTTTTTCCGGCGTGAATCCCTGATCTCTAGTTTTAATGTAAAAATTCATTACGTAATATACGCAAGAAACATAAACTTCGCTAAGCAAATAAACACAACATTTCGCAATGTTCGCTGAGCGGTCATTTATCATCTATTTATATTAATAGGTATATATTACATAAAAAAATAATAAGAAACGTACCATAAGTAAGTATATCTACTACTTAAAAAAACTTTAATCTAGAAATATGCATTATTTATTTATTTATTTCATCAACGGGGCGAGCTTCACAGTCTCCCAATACGCTCGACCAAGAAAGTGTCAGTACAATAATACATATGTTTAATTAAAAGGAATAATATTACTAAGATTAAAATAAATTTAATTAATAACAATAACATAATCACATTTATATATTAAATCTCTGAACATAAACTAGAGGTAGACTTTGTACAAAAGTCGATTGCCTGGGTACCTCTGTCCCATTCGTGTTTCAACCGTGAAGCAGTTGTGTTTGCATAGCTGTGTTTCGGTTTGAAGGGTGGGATATGGCGTGAATTTACAGGGTACAGAGGAATAACATCTGAGTCCTCAGGAATGGCAACGCAGGGGGGGTATCATGAGCGAAACGGTGTGCTCTGTTATGTTCATGGTGCTGCTCATGTGTATAGGCGACGGTTACCACTTTCCATCAGGTGGGCCGTCAGCTTGTTTGCCATTCTAAGTTGTATAAAAAAAAAAAAAAACACTCTGTGGTCATCTGACGAAACCCCAGCATGTTGGGGGCAAAAACGTGTAATTGCGGATACCGGCTCAAAAATAGTTATAGATATAAAATAAGGTAAGTAGTTATTTTAAAACACAATAATATAATATTTAAGAAGATATATATACAGTTTTTATATATATGACTTCTTATAGTATATATATATATATATATATATATATACAATATAAATATATATATAAAAATATACAATGACAAGTGAATAATTCTAGGGAAATACAGTAACAAAAATACAGATTAAAATATACACATAAAGGTACAAAAGGCGGTCTTATCGCTAGGGCAATCTCTTACAGACAACCTTTGGTTAAAGGAGAACAGATAGAAATGGGCAGGTGGCGCAAGAGTGAATTAATAATTTTTCGTGCATAAAATCTTACGACATCCATGGCTAAAAAAGATGGTCTATTCTATGCCGGCACTACACGGCTAACTAAAAATTATTTAAATTAGTGGGCTAATAATTTATTGTTATTTAAATATATTATAAGCATCATTAAATTAGTAGCATCATCATCATTATTTTCCTACCCTTATTCCAATTATTATTTGGAGTCGGTGTAATATGTTTTAATCTCGTATTATAAAAAGATTTTGCATATATAATAGTTTTACGACCGGCCGCCTGCCTGACTTCAACTCTCTCTTTGGAAAACTTTTCGGGAAAAGCGCGATGAAGTCAGTAAATTAGTAGCCTATCGGTTCTAGTCTAATTTTTATTTCATACCTGGGCATATTTAGTAAACATGTAGACGTGTCTTTTTAGAAAAAATTGTCATTTAAATATAATAAAAAAGAATAAATAATTATTTACAACGAAATAAAATTCTAGTTACTTGCATATTTTATATAGATGCCGTTATTTTTTTTTATACAACTTAGAATGGCAAACAAGCTGTCGGCCTACCTGAAGGAAAGACGTAACCGTCGCCAAAAGACATAAAGAGTACCATGTACATAACAGAGTATACTGTGCGGCCTATGAAATCCTTCATGCATTGCCATTTTTAAGTATTAAGGTGTTATGCCTTTGTGTTTATTTCATTGCTCTATCCTACATTTCAAAACATAACACAGTTATGCAAACACGACTGCTTCTTGGCAAAAACACAAATGGGACAGAGATACCCAAGTAGACGACTTTTGTATGAATATAATGAATATATGTAAATAAATATAAAATACCAGAAGGAGATCTTTGGAGTTTTATAGTTATTTCTATAAAAATATAAATATGCCCAGATTACTTATGTATGAGTACTAAATATGGTCACCAAGTATGAGAACAGACTTCCCATATAAATATTTAATATGCCTGTTTAAGTATTTTTAATGTAATAATTAATTAAAACATAAAAAATAATTATAACTATTTATAATATAGCTCAACTGAACATGTCTATACATAACATGACATATAATAGATTATAATAGGTATCTAAATAAAAATAGTAAATTCATTAACAATTATAATGAATTATTGATAACTCACCTAATTTTCCGCTCACTATATCGAACGAAACACCTTTTTCCGATGATATAAATGAGGGCTTCGGGAATATTTCCTGGAAATAAACATTACACTATTTAAATAAAATATTAAAATGCAAAAGAAAAATGTCGCTACTAACACTAACTAAAAATATGATACATAAAATATTTTATGATTTTATCATAATTTAAACTTTAATTACAAGGGATAAAGCGCAGATTTGTTTGTGTACTCCCACTCTGCAAATGAGATAGTATTCGCTTAATTATTTCGATGAAACATTTAGCAGTATTCATGGTTAAAACAAATGACTGATTAAGCATTAACTATGTCGACATACCTAACTACCAATCTAAATTAATTCGATACAATTTTGACATAAAAATACAATGCTTTTTAAAGTAAAGGATTCATAAATCGTTTTGGAAACAATCCCTGTGAATACGTATTTATTTTTTTACCTTAGCAGTCAAGCAGTGCTTACTACTGATTTGAAAGTTGAATATATGTATGCACTAACAGCCCTATTGCTAGCGATAACCCTATTAGGTCCACCTCCACGCGGTTCCCTCTGGAAATCATCGTGATTAGTTATTGTTGAATCCGTCACGATGCGTTAACTGACCTGCTTCATCTTTATCTGTCATCTTTTATTTGCCTACGATTACCAATGAATACCGACAGCGAGGCGGGGTTACCATTTCATTTTCACCTTATATTAATGAAAAAAATATATAAGTACAGGTATCAATATCCCATAGATGTAAGATCAAATGGAACTAAAAGCAACTATTTATCTGTTAATTTGATCATTACTATTTATTTATTGCATATATCTTATTTAATACACATATTATTAACATGTACACAAATACCGAAGTCTTGTAATTTTAATTGGTAACTTCATGTGAACAGCGGTTAATTAACAACGCCATCTATGATTCCCCTCGAAGTATATTAATTTACTTAATTTCCGCGCATGTCGCTAGTGTAGTGTGCATTAGTATTTATATGAACGATAAGCCGATCATCGTTGTTTCATTGTTGCTCTTAATAATTACCTAACCGAGAACGAATCAGAAACCCGTTATATTTCTTCAACGAGGAAGCATTTTATTTTTTCACGTCAAAGGAAAGTTCTGTTTATACTGTACATTCTATTTTTCATTTGTGTGGTAATAAATTAAGAACACAATGTGTGTGACTGAGGGAATTAAACCATCAATCAAGTAATAATAGGCTAATCCTTCATTTATGGGAGAAACCCGTGTCAAGCTATACAATGTTTTTTTTTTGAGGTAATAATGGAATGGTAACTCGCCTGCGCAATCGGTATATGCTAATAGGGAGAGGGATGATAAGCGAGGAGAAAAATAGGTCAGTTGGTCATTGCAACGAATTCAACAAGAATTAATCACGACAGTTTCCAAGGGAAACTCGACTTGATAGGGTATATTGCTAGCAATGGAGTTGCTAAACCCAGTCATTAGTAATCCTTTTTCTTCCCAGATAATAACAGTCTCCCCCATTAGGGGTGTTTGGTTAGTAGTTGCCACGCTTGGCAGACAGGTTGTCAACTACAACTAGGTTTGGTGATATTTTACCCCATTCGTTTGATATTATAAATGTGAAAGTTTGTAACGATGGATGTATGTTTGTTACTCTTTTGCGCAAAAACTACTAAACGAGTTTGAATGAAATTATCAAATTAGACATATAACTTGCCCATGTACCAACATGTACGTAGAATACTATATCCTACTATTAGTCATTATTCATTTATTCAAAAAACAATGTACATTGTGTCCGAAATAAGGGATAAACATACAAAAATCATTACATTAACCTGAATATTACAACCATCCAATAACTATAATAATAACAATAAATTATAATAAATAAATTTTGCAATAAACAGTGTCAACTTCATCGTAATATTATATATATATATATATATATATATATATATATATATATATATATATATATATATATATATATATATATATATGTCAAATTAATTTTTAATTATTTACATTAATCAACAGTACAGAAGTCATGTACGGAGTAGTAACATTTCTCCAATAAGAGGAATGTAATTTAATCTCAAAAGAATTGAGACTTCGTATAATTTTTAACTGGAGAGGTTACTATCAGTTTACGTGGGCGAAGCCGCAGTATACAACTATTCTCAAATATGTCCTGATGAATTTTAGTTTACAACGATTATAAAGCTATTTCAGCACAAAGCAAATTGACTCATTATGTAAATTATTTGTTAAAAACAATAATAATAATAAAAAGACAGTCACCTAATAGACAAGATATGCCTGTATGCGTAGGTGTCGATTCTACAATATTGACATACAAGCTTCTAAAGGATTGTTTGGTTTAATACTCAAATATTTCTCGGTCCGTTCTTTGTTTACAAAACAGCGGCGCGCACCGTCCTCATCTACAACTTTACGGCCATTAATAATTATCAACGCTCCATCAATGATTGTTCTTTACAATTTAGAAGTGTTTATCCTGAGCGTAAAATATTTGTTGCAAGATGGCGGAAGAAGCAAGCATGCACTTTGACAAGTCCTACTCGTATTGTAAAACAATTTGTGCTATGAAATAAACGTTTAAAAATACGCAAATTAAATATCACTACATAGTGTAAAACAAAGTCGCATTCCGTCTGTCTGTCGCTATGTATGCTTAGATCTTTAAAACTACGCAACAGATTTTGATGCGGCTTCTTTAAATAGATAGAATGATCCAAGAGGAAGGTTTATATGTATAATACATGCATAATATAGTAGAGAAACACTGATAATTTAAAAGATTTCTAATGTGATGTCGTAAATATGTACAATATGTATGTATGTACAAAATTATGTACCTACTACAGTATTATACACCTTAAGAAAGTCTACAAAAAAGTCCGCAATGGTATATGTCTATGTCTTAGGGAGAATTGTGGGTCCAGCATTGCACCCATACGAAGCCGGAGCGGGTCGCTAGTCATATTATAAATTAAATATTAAATTTGTTCAACACACTTTTATACATTTAAAATTATTGTAGTTAATGAAAAAGTAGAAGCATTATTTTCGCATAGTTCAAAGTAAATCCTAATAAATAAAATGTTAAATGTGTGAAACTCAATATATATATATATATATATATATATATATATATATATATATATATATATTCTTTATTGCACTAAAACATACAGTAACAACAATAAGTTAATAACAATGTTAGCAAAGGCGAACTTATCTCTAAAAGAGATTTCTTCCAGTCAACCTAATACATACCTAATAATACAAACATAATATAATAAAAAAGATCTATATAAATTATATTAGTTGTTGTGACAGCATTATAGTCCAAATTATGATTATAAGGTTTTTTTAAAATGATGATAATGGATTAGAAACCCCGCCTGCACTAACGGTATACGCTAGCGGGATAGGTGAGAATGAAAAGGCAAGTTGTTTTTTTATGGATGATAATGAAATGGTTATTCCGCCTTCGCTATACTATATCTAGTAAATTTAACATTAGAATATTCTTAACTACTCTCTAGTACAGTGATTCTCACCCTTTTTTTTATTGCGGCACATTTTTAACGGTTTCAAAATTTGGCGGCACACAAAGAAACAGATAAAAATTATTTACTCACTACAACACACTGCATAAATAGTTTATGACAAAAATTTTAAATATATGCAAAATTTGGCGGCGCACTTTTAAAATTTGGCGGCACACAAAAGTGCCGCGGCACAGTGTTCGAGAATCACTGCTCTAGTAATTAGTCCGCGTTACTGAGACATGTTGATTCACCAGTTTAAATATCCTATACTAACAATTATAATTCATTTATTGTCATGGAAGTGACACGGTAGGGATAGGAATATACTACACACAACTCGACTATTTTGAATCACCTAGTTGTTATTTGATATTATCTACATAAAAATTTGAACATAAACCGACAAACAGAAGGTGTAATCGCACAATGTAATCTATACACACAATTTTCCATTTCACGAGAGTGAATAATAGTGGTAACTGTCGCTTAACGGCTAGAACAGCACTTTGAATATCATAGAGTTTGGGTACCTCTGTTCTATTCGTGTTTCTTTAGTGAAGCAGTTGTGTTTGTATAACTGTGCTTCGATTTGAAGGGTGGGATATGGCAGTGACTTTACAGGGTACAGAGGTACACTTAATCTTCAGGCATCATAGGCACGTATGGGGGCTATCATGGGCGAAACAGTATATTCTGTTATGTCTATTGTACTGTTCATGTCTATAGGCGACGGTTACCACTTTTGATCAGGTGGGCCGTCAGTTTGCCATTTTAAGTTGTATAAAAAAATGCTTATGGATCACCGTAATTAATAGTAGTAAAATATATATATAAATACAAAAGAAGAGGAAGAATAAAAATAAAGGTGTGATAGAAAATATATGTTTTGTTGGTATGACAAATGAGGCGACTGAATCAATTAAAATGGTGGATGTTACATAAGAAAGGGTATAGGGTCAAATGGTGTGGACAGGCTGATAAACAATGATGATATTTCTTAAAATGATAAAATTATGCAATTGTACAATAAAGCGGATTATTTAATATACTCGTACACATAAGGGGTACATGTACAGGTTTGCAAAATACGATTTCACGCCGCCATCGTGGGCGGTAAACGGCCTTGCTCACACAACTGGCACTTAGCTACCACCTACAGATGCGAACACGAAGATGCAATGGACTTTATAGTCCGAGGAGAAAGGAATTCTTTTACGGATAAAACTGGCCACTTTAAATTCACCGCGAAGGTCGAATTATGTATTTCGAATGAATTGTAACTGAAAATGAAGTCTTTTAATTTTTTAATTTGACTACGTTTGTGGTCAGTTTGTGGTGATTATTACATGCGATTGTGAGTGTACCAACTTGTTCGTTACATTAGTCAAATTATTTATTGTATAATACTGTTGTTTGGCCATTTTAATTTGAATTATTACATCGGTACTTGTATATGAATACGTTAGACATTCCATGGCGACCCT